GGGGGGGGGGGGGGGGGGTGATGGGGGAACTGGGAAAGATGGGTTGGCTTTGTTAATATCGATTTTGCCCTTGAATGAGAATGATTGCATCCGACCCCCAACTAATACATCGGTCCTTCACAAACCATGGGAATTTTTAAAAAGTGAAGGCATTGTATCGCCTAAAAATGGGGAATGCAAAAGAAAAACATCATATACTAAAGTAACAGGTAACTGAAACATCGTGAAAATCATGATTAGTATAAAAATAATTTGCTCTAAAGCAATAATGATGAAACTATTAGACAAAACGAGAACAATGACAAACAAATCTCCAGAGTGCACCCATGTGGTACGAGTAGTCATAAGAATTCTCATTTGCCATACAGACAATCTTTGCTATTGTCAAGGAATAGGGAAAAAAGGGTAAAAAAGGAAGAATAAAAACTGTCAAAAGACTCAAAACCTTCAAAAAGGCTTAAATGAGCAAAGAAAAAGGCCAACAGTCAAGGGAAAACACCTCCATATCTAATTATTGTCATCCACTTCGTATACCTGCTGCCGAAACTCTTTCTCCTCCTTCGGTTTGTCCTAGTTGTTTGTCGGCTCGACGTATTTGTTAAGCTTGCGATCTGCCTTCCTTAGCTTTTCGCTCTTGAAATTAACCTGTCAAAACGAAAAGGTGAACAAAACATCCAACGCGCAACATGTTCTCACGTACGTCAGTAAAAAAAGCCGCAAAACCTTATAAGAGAAAGTTGTCGGCGATACCAAAAGAAAGTAGAGTCGGAGGGACACACAATTCCCTAGCTTTTCATTCTTGAAATTAACCTTCCAAAGCAAAAAGGTAACAAAAACATCCAATAAGCAACATTTTGTCACGTATGCCAGTAAAAAAAGTCGCAATACCTTTTTAGAGAAAGTTGTCGGCAATACCAAAACAAAGTAGAGTCGGAGGAGACACACACAATTCCCTAGCTTTTCGTTCTTGAAATTAACCTTCCAAAATAAAAAGGTAACAAAAATATCCAACAAGCAGCATTTTCTCACTTTCAATCAAAAACGCCACAAAACCTTAAAAGAGAAAGTTGTCCGCAATACCGAAAGAAAGTAGAGTCGGAGGAGACACACACACAATTCCCTAGCTTTTCGTTCTTGAAATTAACCTTCCAAAACAAAAAGGTAACAAAACATCCAACGAACGACATTTTCTTACGTACGTCAATAAAAAAAGTCACAAAACCTTATAAGAGAAAGTTGTCGGCAATACCAAAAGAAAGTAGATTCGGATGAGACACACACACAATCATGTTCGTGACGAGTCAGAGAAACATGTAATGCTTTGCAAAACTTTTCACCCTGTTTTGTTTTTTAGTTGAATACAAAAGTCTTGAGTCTTTGACCTCATTTTGAATATTATGTCAAGCGTAAATACTGTTTGCTCATACTCCAAAATAATTTCAGTTCACAATTCTAATGATCATGGCTTGTTCGATGACAAGATAAGCTGGTTCACGTACCAAGGAATGACTTCTCTCCATTTGATTTCATCTAATCTGCTATACGCTCTCCGTATCCCACATTTTGTTATTCTCCCCATTACTTGGAAACTGTCTAAAAATTGTCTACCTCATTTACGTGCTCTGTACCTTTTATAATTTTGGATTTTCATTATTAAATTTAATATTTATCTTTCAATTATATATTCCTGAATACTTTATACTCCCAACACTTTTCCCTTCATCAGTATATTCATCGATTGATGATTGTTATTATGTTATACTGATTGTTATTATGGTATACTACCATAGATCATATTTGTTTAATGATCGTTTTGAATATTTCAATAGGTTATTATATAACATACTAGTATGTTATTGTTATTGATACTATTACTATGTATGCGTGGATGCTAATCCTGTTCCGTGTGGTAATCTGATGGCATACTCACACTGGGACTTTCTTACTTATTTTTGGATGTAATTACCCCCAGACTCGTGCAAGTCTGGCCGTAAAAGAGGTAAGATGCATTAAAGGTAGTGTCAGTGGGAGGTGGGGGGATGATGGGGTTGTAGTTGGAGGGGGGGAAAGTGTGAGAATGAGAGAGAAAAGGATGGGAGAGGTGGAGAGGAGAAGGAAAAATTAGTGGAAGAGGGTGAGTAAGGAGGAGGAGAGAAAAAAATAATGGAAGATGAGTGAAGAGGTAGGGGTATGAGAGGTCAGTGGGAAGGAGAGGAGAGAAGTAGGGAAAAAAAAAGAGAAGAGTGAGGTAGGATGAGGGCGTAGTGGTACAGTTAGAAAAGATGATTATATGCTGAAGGGGAGAGAGAGAGAGAGGGAGTGTGGGAGAGTAGATTAGTGAAAGAGAGGTGATAAACTCTTGATTGGCCAAGAGCAAATAAGATCACCATGACCTTCAAGGTGATGGCAGCCTGCTGCTGTAGCAGAAAAATAATAATAAACATAATATAGGGTTGGCTTAGATCTTGATCAACGACCTTCATGGCACTGCCGCGCAGCCCCCTAGCCATGGCGGTCTTCACTGCTGCCAAACTGCCGCTGCAGCAATAGAAAAAATAATAATCATCATCATCATCATATGGGTGTGCTGAGTTTTGATAAGCAAACCATATCTCACTGTAGTGCAGCCTCCTAGCCAGGGGGGCCTTCAAGATCTTCAGCAAGCTGCCACGTGGCACTGTGGATGGCCACGTGCGCAGGCAGCTGTAGCCACGACGACCAGGGGGGGGGGTGCAAATAACAACCCACCCGCTGCTGTCTTGTAGGCCACTGCTCGCCGCTCGTCGACGGGAGGGGGGTGTAAATAGGTGGCGTGGCACTCTTCAACAGCAACGCGCCACTATAGCAGGACAAATGTAGAGTTTGGCCAGTGTGTTAGGGCACTGGCTATGCACATGAATGGTTGGCAGCTTCCCAAGTTCAAACCTTGGCAGCAGCATGCATCTCGAATCTTCATATGCGGGGCGGGGCAGCAGAGCAGTGTGGCGCGCACGCATGCGGCAGTCTTGGCCTTGGTGTTTGCGCGCACGCATTGTGATGGCGCTCTCCTATTTCTCCATGTGTCACTCTCGGCGCTGCACATTTTTCCACTGTTTTTTCCTTCGAAAATGGCAAAAAACTGCCAAAAATCCCGCTATCGAGAGGTGGGTGGGAGCGGGGACCCTTCCAACTCTGATACCAGTGTGACGGACCCGTCGGGATGGCGGTTCATCAAGATCAAGACGAAGGGATGAGGATGGGGAAAATGGAGATGGAGCTGGAAGCCTCGAAGGGACAGCGCAGCTCCAACGCAGACTCAACAAGCATGTACTCCAAACTGTGCAAATGAAGAATGAGACTGAAACAGACTGCAGTTGGGGTGTTTTTTCGGTAGGGAACAAAATTTGTAGTGCAGCCTTGCTCACCGGACGCCGCTTAGCGCCCGCTGCGCAACAGGCTTGTGCTGGACGCACGTGCAAAGGCCCGCTGAGGTAGGAGAGCTGCGAAGAGGGAGACTGAGGCAAGGAGAAGGAGACATGTAGAAGAAGGTTATGGGGAGAAGAGTCGCGACGGCCATAGCTTGACAAAGAGGCAACGCGAATGGACCGACGAGGAAAGCAGCCTAGCATAGCGGGAGCTCCGATGAGAAGATGATGAGCCGCAGATGTTGAAAACGCACGGTGCACGCAGACTACTCCATTCATCACGACGGAAGCTGGCGCCCAGACCCGGAAAAGGTCTACGGAGCAGCGGATCGTCGGGATCGTGTTGCGCCCCGCCCCCTTGGGGCCTCGCGTTGGGAAACTAGCGCGGTGAGGGAGGCGGACTGCTTATACGACCGCCACGAGGAAGATCCACCGACGAGCACGATTTGCCACGACGAAGACATGCAGGCAAAACGGAGACGAGATAGTTGAGTGACTCTAGCCATCAACCCCTTTCACGAATCATCTTCCCGACACCCCTGCCCCCATCCCGACCGATACCCGGACCCCGACCTATCCCACGCCCCCCACTCCCCGTTCGTGACCTCGTCCACTCCCCCGACACTCCTTCCCGCCTGATCTCAACCTCTCCCCGACCCCCCCGAATCCACTTACTCCCTGATCCCAATCTCTGCCTATCCCCCTGATCTCGACCTCCGCCCCGACACACCTCCTCACGCCTCACCCCTACCCAATTACCGCCATCCTCAACCCCGACTTCCTGCGAACCCGAGCTCTGCGCCCCGACCAATCCCCCTCGGCCCGATTATCCCCCGCCCCCCCCCAAGCCATTCACTTCTTGATCCCGACCTTCGGTCTGTGATCCCGACACCTCAATTTTTGACCCCGACCAACCCCTCCGTCGGCGCTCAGAGCCGCTAATCACCAACACCTCCCCTGCGCCCCCCCCTTCCTCGCTTCCCATCCCCCAAATCTCCCCGCCCCCGTTCCTTGTCCCCCCTCGGTTCCGCGCCTGTATCCCTGATCGGCGCTCAGAACCGCTAATCACCATCGGGGTTCCCCTCTCCACGCGCCACCATCTCCACCATCTCCCACCTCCCT